TGTGTGTGTGTGTGTGTGTGTGTGTGTGTGTGTGTGTGTGTGTGTGTTGTCTATGTTAAATAGTAAGAAGTTAACTATAAGTGGGACCAGGTAAAGTTGGCTAGGTTTTACACAAGTCCTCGTGACTTGGAACTGCCATTGGAACAAACATGGCGGCGTATCCGGAATTGTGACGAAGTGGTGTTCACTGTTACCTCAACTGCTTTTTGATTAGTGATAGAGGCAGGGTTTAAAACCATAAACTCTAAGTATGGCGACACATTTCAATAATAATCTTGCTTGTAAGAAATTGGTGTTTGTGTCACTGAGTAGATATCTGTCCGTTTAGCTAATTAACTAAGAGTATAAATAGCATTAGCTACCAACCATTTATTGGTAGTCTTTCTGTACACCCTAATTTGTACTTTTATGATGGGGAAATAACCAAAATGTAACGCAAATAGATTATATTTTATATAGATTTGTTTGATTGCTTATTTTAACTATTTTAATATGAATTACTCTCATGTATTTTTGTCAAGGTTCTCGCAGAGGCTGTGAAAAATAATTCTGTCACTTGATTTTTAGCGCAAAAAAAAATGGACGACTGGGAAGAAGAGGTAAGATATTCTCAAATGAGCCATTTTAAGTTGTTTGGCAATTAAGTCCAGCTTTGCAGTATTTTCCTTGACATGGCCAACAGTCATATAACTTGTTTTTGCTAAATGTTTACAGGGAACTGCAAGTTCTGCTCCTGTAAGCAGCTACACGCCAAATGAAGGTATGGTATGCTTTGCTAAAAAAAATTGTCAGACCTCTTAGGTTCTGAAAATGGCATGCATTCACCAAGCTTTGCTAATATTACATCACCCTTATTTTATGTGTGTGTTAGTGTTAAGTATATTGAGATTGGAGATTGAGACTCCTGTCACATTTTAGAATTCTAGTGAGGTTAATGACTGAAATACTTTGTGGTTAATCCACAAACAAAAAAATATTAAGTCTAGGTGTTGTTATCTTGAAATAAGTCCATAACATCAGGTAAGGGGAAATACATTTGATAAGAAAATATCTGTTTGTTGTATGTATCCAAATAGTCTCTTAACAATATTTTGAATAAAAAATATATTAGATTGCTTTTGCATATTTTTTTTAAACTTTTTTTAATTTTTCCTCAACATGGGAGGATGGGAAGGTAACGTTTGCCAACACATTATTCAGCACAAGTGACCCCATAATACCAGCTTATTCGTTGCTTTTACTTGGAAAAATTAGTTGCCAACACATTATTCAGCACAAGTGACCCCATAATACCAGCTTATTCGTTGCTTTTACTTGGAAAAATTAGTTGCCATTTACAGTATTTCCCAAGTGTACCAAACTTGGCAGTACGGTACACATCATGTATCACTCCATCTTCTGAAATGCTTCCCTGACATCAGTTTTGGTCTTTTCTGGATTGTTGTACGAGTAAATCTTTGGTATATCTTTAAAAGTGATCATTGTATTTCAATTCTAAGACTGAAAAATACATTTCAGTTACTTATAAATTTGGTTATTTCCATCATCCTAAGAAACGCCATCACAGATCTCAACAGTAAAGTTTTTCTGAAGTATAGCTTTAATTGATTAATGCCTTTTAATATTTCTCATCAAATTCTTTCACTGTAATACATTCCTGTAAGCTTTTTTTCTGGGTTTTTCTCTGCACATTTCTGAAGGTGCATTTTCAGGTACGCAAACGGATATGTTGAAAGGTGACGGCGGCGAATTTGGAAGCGGTAAGTGTGGAAAATCTGTGGTTTTTCTCAACCTAAAAGGCATTTTTTTTTGTTACTTCTGGCACACTTAGTGGCACACAGTATCTCTCTCTTCACCATAATACCTCAAAAGTTTAAAGTTCAAGACTTTTCCATGGCTAGAAAAGAGACAGTTTTGCAGAGACTGCATTTTAGGTGAATTGGTGATGTAAAAGTGATTGCCTGCATGGTTGTTTTCATTATGAATTAGTGCCCCCTCTTGGGTGTACCCCATACATTTTTAGTAACGACTGGTATTCCAATATCTGACTTTAAAAACTTTATTTGTGCTTTTTGCCTTATTTGGAGTGTTGGTTATGAAAGGTCAAGCAAAGCATCTTTTAAATAAAAAATCTGGCTTTGTTTAAGGCTTTGAATCCCTTCTTTTCAGATGGGAACAGCTGGAACAGCGATGGCAACAGAGGAGGTTTCAGTGGAAGAGGAAGCAGAGGTAGGAGATGAACTGTGCGAAAGTCCTCAAATACTTTGAGCTGAAATCACTTTTGACTTACCAGGGCGTGGCAGAGGATTTGGCAGAATGGATCAGAGTGAATTCAGTGGTAATATTTCCTACATGTGTGGTTCTAGTTTGAAACCTGTTCCGTGTGCTAATTATCTAAAAACGTCCTTTTTTCCCCTATTCTGTAGGAGGCAACAATGGAATGTGTGAAAACGGTACGTATCTCTTACAGTTCTTAAAGACCTATGTCATGCACTCTGCCTAAATTCTAACTTTAGTTTATCGTCGCTTACAGGATTTAGAGGAAGAGGCCGAGGAGGAAGAGGTGGCAGAGGAGGGTTTAGACAAGGTACTTATTACTTAAGTTCCGTTGAACTGATTTTGCTTCAGTTTGTTGCCTTTTTTAATTAAATGTAAGGTGTTTTAGGACAGTTGCAAAGTTAGATGATTGTCATTGTGTTTAAGGTGGTGACCATGGTGAAGGAGGCAGCTTTGGAGGAGGTAAATAAGCAGCAGAACAGCTTAAAACCGACAGTCATTGCTTATCGATTAAAAAAAAAAACGATGTGTTATTGTAGGCTATCGAGGAAAAGACGAGGATTTCTTTGCTCAAGGTACGAAAAGTCAAGATGTCTACAATGAGAATAAAAAAACAGAAACGTAACGATTCAGATTGATATGACTTTTTATGTGTAATACAGGGGAGGACAAAGGTCCAAGCAAGGACCCAACTGCTGGAGACAGTAAGTCAATATCATTAACGTTGCTTTAAAAAACATCCAGTTGTGCCTTCCACTGTTTCACGCACCCATGCTTCTCTGAACATCAGGACCAAAAGTCACCTACATTCCCCCAACCCTTTCTGAGGACGAAGGCTCCATTTTCTCACATTATGAAACTGGGATCAACTTTGACAAGTATGATGAAATTTTGGTCGACGTCAGTGGCACCAACCCACCACGGGCTATTCTAGTAAGATTTCCTTCACCTGTTTTTGTTCCATTTTTCAGTTTGTCTCTCCTGATTTTTTTTTAAGTCAAATTAAGGACTATGAAGATGCTTTTCTCCTTTGATTATTATTATTGTGAATCATTAAATTGAGTGTGCTAAAATCTTCTTACAGGTAATAATTTCGCCTTTTGCTTCTCTCTCCCCCCTCAGACTTTTGATGAGGCAGCACTGTGCCAGTCCCTGAAAAACAACGTCGCCAAGTCCGGATACTTAAAGCCGACCCCCGTGCAGAAGCACGGCATCCCGATCATCGCGGCGGGCAGAGACCTGATGGCCTGTGCCCAGACTGGATCCGGCAAAACGGTGAGCGACGACGGGACAGGGGCGGGGGGGCCGCCGAAGCCCGAGGCAGACGTCTATAAACCCGTCCGCCCTCCTCTGCCAGGCTGCGTTCTTGCTCCCGATTCTGCAGCAGCTGATGGCAGACGGCGTGGCGGCCAGTCGCTTCAGCGAAATCCAGGAACCCGAAGCGGTCATCGTGGCCCCAACCAGGGAGCTCATCAACCAGATATTCCTAGAAGCCAGGAAGTTCTCCTACGGGTCTGTCCAACGGTTCATAAGAAAGAGTTAGACTTTGTCAAACAGCAGAGCAGATGCATATAAAGTGTTTCTTTTTTTATGACGCTACACAGGACATGTGTGCGCCCAGTTGTGGTTTACGGCGGGGTCAGCACGGGATACCAGATCAGAGAAATCTCGAGGGGGTGCAACATCGTGTGCGGGACTCCCGGACGCCTGCTCGACATGATCGGACGAGGAAAGGTACGTTTATTTTTTTTTTAATTCACGCGCCTTGTTTCTTCCAAGGGGCCGAAAGATGAAAGGGAGAGGCAAATGTGTTCCAGGTGGCTCTGAACAAACTGCGTTACTTGGTGCTGGACGAGGCGGACCGCATGTTGGACATGGGCTTCGAGCCCGACATGCGCCGGCTGGTGGGCTCCCCCGGGATGCCGTCCAAAGAGAATCGGCAGACTCTGATGTTCAGCGCGACGTATCCCGCCGACATCCAGAGGTCTGCATTGTTTTTCTACGAGTCCGAGCTGTTTTTTGGTTGCTCCTGATTAATTTGGGGGAATCCTGTCCTCTTAGGCTGGCCGCTGACTTTCTCAAGACGGACTATCTGTTCCTGGCGGTTGGGATTGTGGGCGGAGCCTGCAGTGACGTGGAGCAGACGTTTGTGCAGGTCACCAAGTTCTCGAAGAGGGAGCAGCTTCTCGACCTCCTCAGGACCACTGGTACGTTGAGTCGCTCTTTTTTCTTTATTTTTTTTTTACCAATAAGTTTTCGCGAGTCAGTAAACGGACGAAAAAAGTTTTGAATTTGTCAAACGAATGCTTGCCTTTTCTATACTTTTGCAGGGACGGAGCGCACCATGGTGTTCGTGGAAACCAAGAGACAAGCTGATTTTATTGCCACCCTGCTGTGCCAGGAGAAGATTCCAACCACCAGCATCCACGGGTATTTAAACGACACGGCAGATGCTCTCCTCCTCGTTTATTGGTTAATCTCGGGGTCACGTGTCTGGCAGGGACCGGGAGCAGCGGGAGCGCGAGCAGGCCCTGGCAGACTTCCGCTCCGGCAAGTGTCCCATCCTGGTGGCCACCTCCGTGGCCGCCCGCGGCCTGGACATCCCGGACGTGCAGCACGTGGTGAACTTTGACCTCCCCAACAATGTGGACGAGTACGTGCACCGGATCGGGAGAACTGGCCGGTGCGGCAACACCGGGCGGGCGGTGTCCTTCTACGACCCGGAACACGACGATCAGCTGGCCCGCTCCCTGGTTACCATCTTGTCCAAGGTGGGAATTTCTATAAAAAATGGTTTTGCCCGTCTGCCTCATCGAACGATTGGAATGAAGGAACTGGTTTGTTTGATTACCGTATTTTCCGCACCATTGAGGTGCACCGGATTAAAAGGCACACCTTCAATGAAGGGCCTATTTTAAAAAATGAATTGATTTATAAGGCGGATAGAATAGAAGCTACAGTAGTGGCTGGGGTTGCGTTCTGCAAACCAGCCTTCTGACAACTCTGTTCACTCCTAAAATGTTTTTATTATCTTTCCCGAGCTAATGTCAGAGACACAGTTAACCTTATAACAGACCCGTTTCGGCTCAGTCTTGATCCATATATAAGATGCAGTGGATTATAAGGCGCACTGTCGGTTTTTGAGAAAATGTAATGGTTTTAGGTGTGCCTTATAGTGTAGAAAATACGGTACTTTATTACTGTGGGTATACTCAATTTAAGGTGGAAATGCACATCAATAATGGCATTTATGAAGCACAATTTTGGGCCAAAAAAGCTTAACCCTCCTGTTATGTTCATTTTTTAGGTACAGCAATGCTGTTCCCGGGTCAGTTTGACCCGGTGCATGTTTAATTATCCAAAAGATGTCTGAAACCAAAAAAATCCTAACAAGCATTGTTAATATATCATTACTAACTCCATTACTAACTACTCTATCAATATTTAGTGCAATGGTCTTTCTTACCTCTAACAGGTAATGATCCAATTATGATAATTCACTCGTTTTTTTTTTTTTTTAAACTGCATGTTCAAACTTTTTTTAATGTTTCACCACTTTATTACTTTTGAAAGACCAACATATAAAACACAATAGTTTTACACAACATTGAAACTAAATTTAAGATTGAGGGGCCCTGTCCTTGATTACCAGCAGCTCAGCAGGGAGATCAGCCCTGTTCTTTCGGACAGTTTTGACCATTGTGAGCTTTCTCTTTAGAAGCTCCTGACCCAAGTTGTAGTTTGTGAAAAAATTGTCACAGGTTATGTTCTGTCCCCTGAGACCCTGTGCCATATCGAGCACGACCCTTGTGCCCTGATTCTTCTCTGGGGCTCCTCCAACCGGCTTTCCAGTGTAAACCTGCATGTTCAATGCTGGTGTTTGCATCACATGCTGCCCAGATTTTTATCCGATATTTAGCTGGTTTGGAAGGCATGTATTGCCTAAATGGGCAGCGACCTCTGAATGCCACCAGCCTTTCATCCACTGTGACATTAGGGCCTGGGTTATAGAGTAGTGGAAGTTGCTCTACCAGCTTGTCCCACACTGTCCAAATAGCTGCAAGCTCGTCTCTCTCCCGTCTACCAGCCCTTGTCTCTCGATTATCAAATCGGATTACTCTGGAGAAAATGTGAAATGTCTCCAGAGACATTGTGGCTCAAAATATAGCCCTGCCTGTCTCTGCATCCCACAGACTGGCTGTCGATTCATCCTTAGACTTACAGACCCCAGCCAGGACGAGGAGCCCCAAATACGCATCTAAACGCGTTTTGCCCAGCTCCTTCCACTTCTCCCCAAAAACACGCCTCCCTTCAAGATTAGTCAGTTCCCAAATGATTTTCTGCATTGAATCTGGCATGACCAGCTCAAAAGCTGACTTGATGTCAGTCACATGAGTCACTGCTATCTTAGTGGGCCCTGGCACTGTCTTTATTATGTTTTCTGCAGACAGTTTTGCCTGACGCATATTTGGGGATGAAGACCACTGTATTTCACCATTTTTTTACATGAATGTGATGTTTGGAGGAATAGGAATAGCAATTCCATCATCAGGTTCAAAATCATAATCATTAGAATCAGAATTTAGCTCAAGATAGTCTTCATCTTCAGACACATCCTCCTCTGTGTGTGTGTGTGTGTGTGTGTGTGTGTGTGTATACGTGTGTGTGTGTGTGTGTGTGTGTGTGTGTGTGTGTGTGAGTGTGAGATTGGGGTTAAACATGTCTCACAGTTGCAAAGAAAGAAATAGTCTGACATTTCTGATACCATTTTACCTCCAGTTTGACTGCTGGGTCAAATTGACCCGAACAGTATCTATGTGATATAAACATGCAGGGGGTGGTTGCAAATATGTGAGATGAACCATTTTCATATTATATGTTGATTACACTATTTAAGGCAAGCAGAAGAAGTTTCATACTGAAAAAATACTTTTAACTATTTTTCCCAGACCTTCAAACTTTAAAACGGGTCAATTTGACCCGCAACATAACAGGAGGGTTAAAGGAGAAATGAAGACAGACTCGGCAGAATATGTCTCGCATGTAATATTCATTACGTGGGCTGAAGTAACCCTGTTTGCAACTATTAGATGAAAATGGTTTCAAAGTTGTGATATGTTTGTTTGGGTTATCAGGCCCAGCAGGAGGTGCCCTCGTGGCTGGAGGAATCGGCATTCAGTGCTCATGGTACCTCCAGCTTCGTGCCCCAAAGGAAGTCCTTTGCCTCCACAGACTCAAGACAGGTACGGGCTCTGAATTAGTAGTTTTGTGGATGTCTCTGTTTTAGATGTCATGGACTGTGTTTATTTCGCAGGGCCCACATCTCGGCTCCTCCCAAGATAATGGAACGAACGTTCAACTAGCGGCCCCGAATGCAGCTGACGAGGAGGAATGGGAATAGAATGAATATTTGCCCGGCGTGCACACACAGCTTTGAATAAAAGTAATTTTTTTGTTGTATTTTATTTTAATTTTTTTAGGTGGTTTTTTTAGGGCTTCAGGTTGTTGTAGTTTAACAGTATTTTTGTTGAAAGTGAAAGGTATTTTGTTTGATACCTGTTGAAGTTGAAACATAAAGCAAAATGTTTAATAAAGAAAGCAGGTTGGATTGTGGTCTGTTCTTTGTCTTTTTTTTCCCAGCATTGTATTTAAATAGTGATTATATTTTTGTTTAAATAAAAACTAAAGTGACTTGAATCATGTGCATATATTTTCTTAGGGGAAGAATAAAATGACCATACCATTTTTTATATATATATACAGTAATGCAGTTTCCGTTAGTATTGCTTTAAAAATAGTATGTTACTTTGGTACAATAAATTCATAAAAGATCGTAACCACACAAATGTATTTTGGTCCTTGGTGCTTTCCGTAGTTCTTTCAGGAAACGAGCCCAACCCGCTGTTGGCTAAATACAACACAGGGACTTTAGCGGTTGATGCAGAACTTAAAAACAGCCCCTCCCATTGTAGGCGGTGCCTTCTCTGTGCGGCATTCGGGGTCCGTAGGAAATGGCACTGACATGTACAGCACCATGAATAGTCGACTAAGAGGGTGGCATAATAAACATTGCTAGCTTCTTGGTTTTTCTGATATGAGTCATTTGGCACGTGAGGTGGGTTTCAAAGTTCACACTCAGGCGGGTTATTTCCCCCGAGAGGTAAAAGTATCCACGTTTCCTCCTGTCACCGAATGCAACATTCTGTCATTGGTCTGTCCCGCGTTGCCGTTTACACCCAAACCGGAAATGAAACGAGTTATTTGACTGGCGTACAAGGTCTGAGCTGTCCTGTAGCAAATTAACGCTTAAAAGTTAACAAGTGGTCAGTGAAACAACACGGACAGAGCATATTTTCGGTAACCACTGACTATTTTCTTTCCAGTGCAGTTGTTTCGCTGTCGCAAACCATGTACGGAAGGGCCAAAATCAAGGTAAAGTGAACTCACTTGAACCCTAAACCTATTTATTTTTTCTTCACTTTAAAAAAACAAACATTTTTGTTTAGGTTAAATTAGTCAAATATAACATTTATTTCCTCCCATTCACAAAGTAAACAAGTTATTTGTCGAAGTTGTTGAGCTAAAGCAGTAGATATTAAGATATTAAGTTATGCAGACTGTGAGTTTATATTAAGTGTCCAGAGCTCATTATTTGACCACAGTCACTTGGTCTGAAACATAAAAACTGACACCTGTATAAACCTTTTCATAATATGACAGGGGGTGACATCTGGAAGGCTGACAGGAAAGCCCCAAAAGACTCGGTGAGTTCAAAAATCTTTACAAAACCCCTCTGTAATGGTGACATTTAAATTATTATTATTTTCTTTTTCTGGTCTAACTTCTATTACTATGGTCTTCCCAAGAACTGGACCACCAGACTGGTCTGAGCCTGTCTATTCGTTGTACTCTACAGACTCCGAGGAACAGGTAATGACGTGAACTGATTTGAAGTTCGTACTAAAGACGTGAATTGACTTTCTTAACTGGATTGATAATGGATATGAAGACAAATAGTGTGGAATGGAGGGCAAAAAGTTCTGAGTTCTTGAATCATTCAGGAAGAAATGACTTCCATTGCTATACATTTAGAAAAAAAACATTTCTAACATCCTTTGTAATCTCTAATAACCCTTCTGTTTGAAAAATAACATACACTGCAAATAATAAAACAAAACAAACATTTAGAATAAAAAAATATTCACTCTGCCTGCTTTGCCAATTCCAAATTTTTCAAAGTTTTTTCTTCTTTTTTAAAAAACTTTATAATTTTTTTAATTTAGTATTTAATTTTAGAAAAAATAAATGAAATTGTTCTAAATTATTCTGAACTTAACACTTTAACTGGAGTTTTTTTTTAAGTTAAATCTTAATACAACTGTGTGCTGTGTAATGTGTGAACGTATTGACTCCTTTTTACTATAATTTCCTCATATGTACCTTTCCTACATTAGTGAACAATAACATCTCTTAGGGATGTGCTTAACTTTAGTTGCTTGGTCTCACACTCATGCAGTTAAGCTCACTTTGTTGTTGTTCCAAAATGGATTAGGGAGCAAGAAGAAAAGTAAGCACCTTTGATTCACAAAGCCAAGGCCATTAGATCCTGATTTAGCTTATTGTGTTCTGTTACAATTTAGACCAGTGACGCGGTGTTTCTCTGTAGAATTATAGCCGTTTGGTTACCTGCACAGTTGTTTTTGAAATTTTTCTTATCATTAAGTTTTAAATGATAGCAGATGCACCATTTATCCATGTCAAAACTCAATCTCTTCTCTTTATCTTTTCTCTTCTTTATACGTTAAATCGAAATAATCTGTCGAATGTTCACGAGGATGTTACGTTCTCAGGTCACCACTCTGCACAAGGGTCTGGACCATTGCGCTGCCCTATTGAGTGGCATCCTTCAAGAAGATGAAGCAGGTGGGAACTATTTCCAGCCAAAATACAGAAGCTGTTTCTTTCTTACTAGCACCATCCGAAACTTTAAAAAAAACAGACCCCAAAACATCTTAAGTGTTACACAGATGCATTCCAAAGTATACAAAGCCCCTCCCTATTTCAACATGGATATGAAAGTTTTTATATCGGTGTTTTTAGCCTCTACGGGCCGACCAAGAACTGTGAAGAACGGAGCAGCCAAGACGAGAAATTCCACCTCAATGGGAAAGAAGACCTTGAAGAAGCTGCCCGTAAAAACAGGTGCACTTTTTAGGCTTAGAGTTAGTTTAGGATTGTAAAAAAGGATTCCAAAAACCTCTGTCGTTAGAGCCGGCTGTCCATAGTCGAAAGGCCTGGTATTTGTTTTGATCAGGGCTTTCTTTTTCTCAATGAATTCGTTTTTTTTATTGCAGTTTATTAGTTTGTAAAAAAAGCACCAACCTGTTTGTGGGGTTGGACTACCCATCATAATTCGTTGTGTGTGTTGGGTGTAAGCCTCTCCAGGTCGTCCCAGAGCTGTGAACGGTTGGGCAGCGAAGTCCCGACCGACCGCCTCCCAGGGCACCGTGGCCCTCAAGAAACTGCCCCGGAAAACAGGTGCCAACATAATGAAAGTTTTTCCTTGCCTGTGTCGCCTAGTGCTTGCTCATAGTGGGAATCGTTGGGTTTTCGGTAATTAACTTCAGAGTAGGGTCTGACCTGCTCTGTTTGGAAAGCGCTGTGAGACAACTGTTGTTGTGATGTGGTGCTATATAAATAAAATGGAATTGAATTGAATGGAATATGTTGTTTCACACATTTGTCTCAAACTCAACGGTAACTGACATTTCACGTTTCTGTCCTTATTACAGATCAGAAGAGCTCTCGGCCCGACCTGCGCGGAGCAGGGGGCGGTTTGACCCCCAAAAGGCAACAATCCAGTGTTCCGGCCGCGCATTCCGGAGTGAAGCTGCATCCGCCCCGAAAACGAGCTCAGGAATTACACGAGCGAGAGCTCCAGGGGCTCTGGAACTCCGTCTCCACCCCGCACACCGGGTTAGTCTCGGAGGCCTCGCGCCGTCGGGCAGAGCCCGAGACGGAAGAGGAGCTGGTTCCCGTGAGAGACTCGGACACACGGGACACGCACGTGGACACACACGACCTGGAGAGGCCGGTCGTAGAGACCGAAGCCAAAACGGAGATGGTCCGGTATCTGCTCGGGGAACTCAAGGCTCTGATTGCCGGGCAAGGTAATCTGACTGTGTTCTGTTTCTCCTCTGCCAGGTCTTCCCAGCTCCAGTGGTCCTGGGATTTCACTTTAAAGTGACTATATATATATATATACTCTGTTCCATGTGTTCATATTTTGGAGAAACATATTGGTTCAAAGTGCAGTGAAATCCATGGTGATGTGCCTGAAATGCTCCTAAATTTAGGGGTTAGCACATTAATTTTGAGCCTGCATCTTATTTTTAAACCTCACAAACAAAATGAGCCTGTAAAATCTGTCCTAAAAGACACAAAAAAATTACAAAGACACGAAAAAGCCTTGGTCGTATTTGCAATCTTTACCAAAAAATCTAAAGACTTCTTTATGTTACTGCAGAAGAAATAATTGATTTGAAAGAGCGGACGGAAAATACACAAGGAAATATTCAAATATTGTTGCTTCGATAGCCGTCAGATCCGCTGAAACGCAGACAAACGTGCGGTTGTGTCCAGTCAAAAGTCGTTATTTGTGTATTTGTGTGTCTGTGCGTAGGCAGCGTGGCCGAGAGGCTGCTCAGTCACCTGGAAGAGACGGTCAGCGGCGCCCCCGACGGACCTGGAAGCGCGTACGATCTGTCGGCGGCGGACGGTCCGAGCGCTCGGCCGTGCAGGTGACGTTCCCGATTGGTGGATTCTCCGACTTTTCCTGGTCACGGTCGTTCTAAGAGGCTGAGTAAAAAAGCCCTTGGCTCTTCAAAAACACATTTCTTCCTCGGTTCTAAGCTGCAAAGTGGGGAGGATTAGCTTATAAACAGTGTGGGCCGGTTAGAGTCTGAGCCCCTAGCCGTTGTCAGGGTCCTGGGACGGGGATACCTGAGACCCCCCCCCCCGGTGTGTCTTCAGCCTGTGGTTCAAACCTAATGAGCTTCATAAAATAAGAGCTCGGTTCAAAAAGCTCGAGGTTTCTGCCTGTTAAAAGGAAGTTTTTCCTTGCCTGTGTCGCCTAGTGCTTGCTCATGGTGGGAATTGTTGGGTTTCTGTAGTTAACTTCAGAGTAGGGTTTGACCTGCTCTGTTTGGAAAGCGCTGTGAGACAACTGTTGTTTTGATGTGGCGCTATATAAATAAAATTGAATTGAATTGAAAAATAATTAATCGGAATCACAAATATTTCTTTGTACGACTTTGCTCAACAGAGAAGGATAGATGATGTTTTCACGTTCATTTACTTTCTTTACAGAAAGTAAAAGGGGACAAAACCCACAGCCAAATATAGAATAACTCCAAAAACTTTATCAGCGTAACCGTCCACCAAAGCCAGGTTCAGGTTCTAGCTTGTTTCTCCATTTTCCTCTATTTTGACTGTCTCTAAGTAGTTTTTTTTTGTCCCCCATACAAAATCACACCATCTTTACATCTTTTCGTTTTGTGTGTTTATATTCAACAAACATCCATATATGTGTAGTTAGCATCTCAAGGTTTTGATTGGTTTTACAGGTAAGCAATTACAAATGAAAATTCTGACATTTGAGTAGCGTGTGATTCCGAAATTAAGATGAAAAGGAATTTTCGAGGTTTGCTTAATGCACTTAATGCTATATTGCGGGCTTTTCGTTTTGAGTTCTTTACATAATTTAGCTCACAAACCCTTGTGTGTGTGTGCGTCAGGTGTGGGGGGATTCAGAATGAGCAGTTAAAGGAGAGAGAAAACCTGGAAACGCCTCAGAAACAAGAGACGGCCTGTAACTGGGGAGGTAATCCCCGTCCTGTTTTTTTATTTTTTTTTATTGAGTATTTTGGAAGCTGTCACAATGACCGAATCCCGGTTTTCCCGACAGTGCGGGACGATCTCGTCGCCGTTCAGCTCAGGCTCCGGGAACTCCGGGAGGAATTTGCAGAGCTCCGCAAAGCCCACGAGGACACGCAGAGTCATCTCAGAAACGTTGAGGCGGAGAACGCCCTCCTGAAGACAGGTCCGGACTTCCTGAGATTCCTAAAAAAAAAATTCCGTACAACATGGATTTCCCACTAATTTACCATTTAAAGGAATTCTTGCTACAACCTTAGACCTACAAACAACTAGAACTGACTCACACTTGGCTCCTCTCGGTCAATATGGATTGTTTTTAGCTGTTAGGGTTATTGAAATTACCATGTGTCCAGATTTGGAGGCTACCAGAAGCAGACTGCTGGAGTGCGAGAAACAGAAGGGCGAGCTAGCGTCGCTGGCTCAAAAACGACTGGAAGAGATCGGAAATCCGAAGAGGTGAGGCCCCGGACGACGGGTTCAAGGCCCGAGACCAAGCGCAGGTTCTTTATCGGGGGCCTCTCTGCTCTGGATCCACAGTTTCTTTCAAGTTCAGCGTCCGGCGGACGACCACAGCTTTCAACCGTTAGCCCCAAATCGGCGTTTTGGAGCGGATCCGGAAGAGCCCTCCACCGATCGCATCAAGCAGTACCTGACGTCCCTGAGTCAAACGCAGCACGGGGGGGCGTCTCCAGAGAGAGGGGACAGCACGCGAGAGCCCGGAGATGCGTCGCCCCGTCCTCAGGTCAGTTCAAAGCTAAAAAAACGTCCAGAAACGTTAGCTAGTTTAACAGAATCTTCTCCGTCTCGGTCCGTTCAGCAACACAGTGTTATTAAATTAAATTAAATTTTATTTATATAGCGCCACATCACAACAACAGTCATCTCACAGCGCTTTCCAAACAGAGCAGGTCAGATCCTACTCTGAAGTTAATTATAGAAACCCAACAATTCCCACCATGAGCAAGCACTAGGCGACACAGGCAAGGAAAAACTTCCTTTAACAGGCAGAAACCTCGAGCAGAACCATGGCTCAGGGTGGGCCATATAACTTCTGTCTTCCAGTGCGACTTGGAGTCCCTTTGGTCCGACCGGAGCGCGTGGTCAGCGTCCACCTTCGACACCAGAGACGAGGCGGCGTTCAGGGACGGCCTGGCCGCTCTGGACGCCAGCATAGCCAGCCTGCAGAAGACCATCCGGCTGGATCTTCGGCTTCAGCCCTCAGCCTCGATGTGAGCGCGACCCTGTCTTTCTTTTTTATTTTTCTCTTTTTTATTTTTTTTTAATTTGAGAATGAAAGTGGAAAAAAAATAAAGCTTATATTTTAAAAAATATATATTTTTGCTCTGCAGCGTTTTCATTTGTTTTCTCTCCTAGGTGATGTGTTTTACAAGGTTTAAAAAAAGAAGTGCATGGTAATATATCCTGTGCTTAACTAATTTATTGTTGGAAAAAAACAAGACATTTTTTTTTTTGGTTTAAGAAATCCTCCAAAAACCTGTTTTAAACTTAAAAAATGCACTTGTTTATTTGATATGTAACTTATTAAAATCAAGGAATAGTACCTTTCCTTAATAACCTGAAAACTTCATATTTTATACAACCTCCTTTGGTTTTGATAGTAGATTCCTTTCTTACTCATTCTCTCCGTATTTAATTCCAGAGTTATTGTGTGATCAGTATTTGAATCTCCTAAATGTCACATAGACTTCGACTCGGCGTCTCCATTAGGTTTAGTACTCCAGGTTTTTCTGACAGTTTGCAGGCCTCATTTACAGCTTCTTAACAGCTCTTCTTCCCTTCTTATGGTATACCTGTGGTATCTTCAGGTCCGTTTCAACTGCTCCAGTTAACTTTTGTTTCCCGCAATAAGGCTGAGTGATGATTAGCTCTGAATGCTCAGTTTTTAACCATTTTAATAATTAGGATTTCAATATGAATTCCCAAAAAACTTTTCTTCTAAGAGTTTTTTTAGTAGTCAGAAATGTATCAAACAGAACGGGCAACCATTCAAACTCAGTTTTGCAATTAAATAAACAGATTTAGACATATTACTCAACTGATCTTTGATTTTTTTTTTCTGTAAAACAGTATATTTTAATACACATTTATGAAAATGGCAATTGTATTATATTTTTATCCAGTTAGAAATATTATTCTTTCTAAAGAACTGTTTGATACTGATGTATTAACCATTATGGAAACATGAAATAATTATTTATTTCCTACCATTGCTGTTAATTCAGATCAATAAACTTTACTTTGGGCTCATAAATTTGTTAAGCACTGTACATTTTTTGTAAAAAGATGTGTTCAGGTTTAGCTATGTTAATCATTTTAATTAATAAAGTGTGTCTGTTGCTAAAAACCTAAAAAAAAAAAAAGATTTATAATAATAAGTATTTATCTTTTTTTGTTTAAAAAAAATGAAAAATGTTCTCCAACGACAAACATAATCCATTATTTTGTCACCATAAAATCTAAAGTAAAGGCAAACCCACCCCCAAAAAATTAAGAAAAAGATTTTTTCGAAAATGTATGTTTTATTTATCAAAACCGGACAATATAGAAACTAGCTATCAAAAGAGAAGTGTCTTTAAACATTGCAGCAGAGCTGGTAAAAGGCTCGCACACTCCCATTTACACGGTTTACAAAACGGGGACGTCGCGTCGTCAGCACCTGGCTTATGATAATAACAAGTCGTACAAAAATTACAGTACAGATTTGATTGAATACATTCACCTGCTCTAAAACATAAATAATACAAAAAAAATCATTTAGAATAAGACAAATGCAGATAAAACAACCAACCAATCAAATATTCCCTTTGGTAACTCAAGACTTGAGCCTTTTTTTTTACTTTGAGTGAAGGAAAGGCCAGTCTAGGGTGTTCTAACAATGACTTAAGATTGGGGAAAAACTACATTCAGCTCCTTATTTTCCACAAACTGAAGAAAAACTAAAAGGAAAAACCGACAAGTCTCACTCGAGATGAGATCAGGAATGCGTTTTACCCTTATATTAGCTACGTCTAGGGTTGTCGGAGCTCTTAGATCCCTTAGATCAGCTACTAACCAGATAAAAAAATACAATTACTATTTATTCTAATCGTTTTTAACACAGTTACGCTTAAATTCTGACAGCATGGACACCCATAACCCGGACCATGAGGGATAGGACTTCGGAAAAACTAGCTAAATACAGATTCAATGCCAAACTCTTGAATCGGTTCATGTCAGTGTCTGAAAAAAACGAATTGACCGTTAAAAATAAACCTTTAAAATGAGACTACGCAAACTACGTTTGGATAAAATGTTGCAGGAAGTTGACTTTCAGGTCTTAAAGGGGGTAAAAAAATATTTTCTAATAGAAGTTGATCTACAGGGTGCCTCAAAAGTCACATAAGAGCATTCAGTTTGAGAAATAAAAGGAAAAAGGAACACATCCGAATGGCCCCAAAGTCGCTGTCCATGGTGCTGAACAGGTCAAACAGCTGTTTCCAGCTGTTGTTGGGTCGATAAACACTTGAACCTATACAAATGTTGCATTACGATTACGGTAATCGATCTCTGGGACAATTCTAGTCTTTTTAAAGATGCATTCCCATGTGAAAAGCTTGCCCCTTGATCCAACGTCGTGGCTATTTGTCCCAGACAAAGTCGATACAGAACATTTTTTCTCAAATTTGACATGTTCAGAAAACAGATAAATCATTTAAAATATTCAGTGGTGGAATGTTGTCAAGTAGGCAGCTTTTTATTTGGTCGAGCTAGTTTTTTTGGGATGGATTTAGCGTCGGATGTGAGCGTTCTTTCTGTAATCTGTTAGAAAGGCGACCATAAAGAAAAAAAATTCCCCCAAATAGTATTCAAATGGCTTTGAGTTTGGCAGAAAAGGAAGATGACAAATGCAAAGGACCAAAGCTGACCAAATGAAAACTGACAATAGAAATATATAGATATCTCAATAAATAAATCAATATTCTAAAAATACTCTAATTAAATGATAAAATGCGGCATTTATAATCAAGTTTCTACCTATAATCATGTTCTTTTGTTAAAAAAAGACCAATTTATTTGACCATGTTTTATAAAAATACATTCCATTTAGTGATAACATATTTTCCCTTCACATTTGTAATATTTCAAGCATTTTTTTGCTGTGAATTTGACAAATTTTACTCATAAATGCATTTATGTCTCCCTTTTCTGCATTTACTTTTCTTTAGTTACCCTTTTCCCATCACCCCAATTTATTTACACATCTGCTTTTTGCATTTTTCCTCAAGCACTACATCCATTATTCTTTCTAAAAACAGCTATGACACATAAAAAGAAACAAATCAAACCAAAACAGTTAAATAGGTCACTTCGATTATAAAGTATGAAGTAAGGTATAAAAAGTGTAAATAGTTTTGTAGAAAAAACGGTATTATCAAAGGTGGAATTGGAGTAAATGTATAAAATTATGTCCCATTTTGTCATTTAATTCGTCCGTTTTTTAACATAATGATTGATTTATAGAGAAACGTGTTTTACTCTCCTTTTTTTCCACCCTACGGATCCGTTTAAAAGCGGCCGGAGTGCTGGACGGTGCTGACCGGAGGCTGCTTGCGGGCGTCCACTGCTCCGAGGAAAGGGCCGCTGTCCCCCGGGTCCTCGGCCGTGTCCCCGAAGCCGTGGCGGTGTCCGAACTGCAGGAAATCCAGCGTCCACTCGGGCGGGGGGGAGGCGGGGCTGCCGGTCAGGTGCAGCGAGCCGCACATGTCGGCCGCCGGGGCCGGCCGCTGACCCACCGGGGGCGAGGGGGCTGGCGGGCGGGGGCTGGCGGGCGGCTCGTGGTCAGGGGCGTCCGAAAGGCAGGCGTCGGGGGGGCGGCTGAGCGCGTCCTCAATGTGGTCTGCTTAAAAAAGAAATAAATTAAAAAAGTTTTAAGGCAATATAACAATCAGCATTTTTTTTTGGGAAAGAAAATATGGAAAGAATCGGAAGTTTACACAAATAATAAATATAAAAATAAGTATAAAATAATAAATAATAAAAAAATAAAATAATAAAATAATAAATAAAAAATAAATATAAAATAATAAATAATAAAAAACTTAATAATAATAAAATAATAAATAAATAAATCCCCTATAACTGACAAGGGATTATAGAAATATATATTATATACATATATTTTAATATAATATTATAATTGTATTATATACATCCATATATATATATATATTTATTTTATTTTTTTATTTTTTATTTTATTTATTCTTTATAGAAACTGTCAGGCAAACCCCTGAAAAAAGAAAGCCCTTTTCATTGATAATCTTTGAGGAAACAGTTTTTTATATTGAGCACCAATTGAAAAAACTAATATAAATAATATATGAATACATATATCCTTGGAATATTGCTCGTATTTTTACATATGTCAAACAAACACTCAGCTCCCTTTCCCTTGACTCTTTAATAAATACATTAATAAGTACATTAATACACCTAAATAAATAAAATTATATAAAAAAAGATGCTTTAAAGATCGCCATCCAGTTGGTGGTCAGGGAGGGGCGTGTCCAAAACTAAATGGTAAGTAAATGGCCGTGGTTCCCAGAGTCCATAAAAGTATTTTGGGAGGCAGAGTCTTCAGTTATTAGGTTTTTCTCTGTTGGACCAGCTGCCAGTTTTGGGTTCAGGAAGCAGACGCCCTCTCCACATTTAAGACTGGGCTTAAAACTTTCCTTTCTTGTTATAGGTGGCTCCAGTGACCCTGAAAAATCCCAGTTTCTTCCTAATTAAAAAGGAGTTTTTTTTTGCCTTGTGCAAACTCAAAATGGGAGATTTTTTTACATTTTTTTATTAATTGGAACTAATTAGGAAACGTTACCTGAATGAATTACACGCCAATTAAATCCAACTAAAAATGGACCAAAAATAAAGTCTGAAGAGGATGTCTTCAAAGTCTGATCACGCAAATCGACTTTTTTTTCTCATTCAATCTAGAAATATTCTACAGTAATGGATTTTTTTTTAAAAATGGCCCCAAACCCACCTGAGTTAAGGTCCAGGTTCATGTTCTCCCCCTCCTCCTCTGAGCTGAACTGTCTCTGCTCCGTCACAGCTGGAGACAAAGAGGTGAATAAAAAGCTGTTTGATGGATATATTCAACAATAATAGGAATGTGTTGGTATAAGCCATGGTTCTGCTCGAGGTGTCTGCCTGTTAAAAGGAAGTTTTTCCTTGCCGGTGTCGCCTAGTGCTTGCTCATGGTGGGAATTGTTGGGTTTCTGTAGTTAACTTTAGAGTAGGGTCTGACTTGCTCTTTTTGGAAAGCGCTGTGAGATGACTGTTGTTGTTATGTGGCACTATATAAATAAAATTGAATTTAATTGAATTGAATAAGGATGCGTTGCATTGCTATATACGTGACAATTTCCTTATGACTTTAACCATTTTAAGAGCCTTTAACATTGAAGACATTAGTTTGTATTAAAGAATTGCAACAAGCATTTCTCCTATTCCTATTTTTTAACCTTTGACTTAATCAAAGACCTAATTATTTGACTTCATTATAAATTTTTATCTGAGTTAATTTATTTAATTTAGTTTTAATTTACATAAATAAATATATCAACTACACACCTTTTGTCCTTCTAGGTCTGTTTTGACCACTTCTAAAGCAAAATGTAAAGTATAATAACTAGCAACTTCTTTTATTTTCTAATACATTAACATAATTTTCACATCTATTTTTATGGTAATATATGATAAAAAAAGATCGCATTTATTGAAAATTAGACCTCAGTTTGAACATAAAAGCAGAGATTCTGAATTAGTTCCATGGTAGCTATGATCAGAGGCAGGAAGAATAAACATATAAAAAGTATAAAATTATCATATAGTTCTGCGTTACAACTTTTTCAGTTCACTGTGAGAATTTTTCAAGCAATTTTTCAAATCTATGGCATAATAGGCCTCATTGACAAGAAATTATGCACATTTTTGAGTGAAAACAGATGAAATTATAAGTTTTTTTTACTATAGTTTGTATCAGACACATACTTTTTTTTTTTTTTACATCATTTAAGTTTTTTAAATGTATTTAATACCATTTTTTATGCATAACGTAAAACCATCAATGTCATACATGGAGGAAAACCAGCTTTAACAAATTCATTTTTTGATAATCGATATTTCTTTGGAAATTAAACCGTTTAGATCCACAGATGTTTCTTTTTTATTAATTTTTTAATCAAAGCTTGTGGTGTGATAGAACAGCTCCCACGTTTTTCTTACCACCGGCCCTCCTCGCTTTCTTTGCGTGACGAGCCTCGGTGACCATCAGCTGCCTCTTCCTGCTGAGGAGACTCTGCGTCCCGTTGCCATGGAGTCCGCCCAGCTGCTGCAGATGTGCCCCGGCGTTGGAGACGAAGCAGAAGCAGTCGTGGAAGCCGTGAGCCTGCGCCAGGTCGGCCGCCGTCTGCCCGCTGGCATTCCTTAAACTGGACAGTGAGGAAAGCAGGTTGAGCTGCTTAATTGATTGATAATTAATTAATCTTTTCTAACAATCTGAATGCATGCTGCACTCACTACTCGCTTTTCTAGCCCTGACAGTCTTTATCGGTGAAGGGGAGAGACCATTTTCCCGATAATCCCAATTGTACTGTTGGTGTCCATTTCTGAACAAGATTAGAATTTACATTTTGCATGTCTCACATAGGCAAAATCTTAAGACGTTCCAATAACTAAAAGATCAGAGTTTGTTATTCTAAAAAACAAAAGACAAATGTTCCATGTTTCGATGCTACCCGGCGCCACATGATTTATTTACTTATTTTTAGTATTATTTTTTTTAATTTCCAGTTGCTGCTGGTGCCGACTACCAACTGCAGGCCACTGATTGGCCGGGGCGCTAGCTCTGAATGAAACTGATCGAGTACTAATGAAGAAGGGCCATTACAGACAGCTAAAGTTGGAATTTATTTCAAGGGTCACGTGCTTGAAATGATACCGAACTGATCTAATTAAATTACAGACATATAAAGATTAACGAACACTATCTTTCAGATCTTTTGAGGTGGTAAAACCTCAGATAAAGAGCATTAAAGCCCAAAGAAGTGGGTAAAGAACCCATCCTGGTAAAAGAACTCCATGATGCGATTTTTTTCTGGATGATGCCCTCACTTTTCATATTGTTTGAATCTGAGCTCTGTACAGTTTTGCTCACAGATCCTCCTTTATAATCTTTAAAACATCATAATGATTAATTGAGGGTCACAGGTATTATATCTAATACATAGCTTTCTCTCACCATCTTTCTCAAACAAAGAAAAATGTTAGAAAAACTATCATTAAAAGCTGATTACTAAAACAATGTATATTATATTCGCATGTGTTTTCTTTTACATTCAGTTAAAGATCCAAACAAAAACTCAGGTTACAAAAAAAGTTATTAACTTTGTCCATTTTTCTTGGGTTAGGTTTTATAGGGTTAAGAGACCAATGTAATACCAATGACATGCAACAATTCCTCACGTTTCATTGCTTGCTTTGCCTTCTTCCTCCAATACATCACAATGTACTTTGTCATATAAGCTTAACTTGCTAACTCACAGCAAAGAATGGTTACGTTTTTTTCTAAGTTCCGCATGCAGGCAAAGACATGAACTATTCCAATCAGCGCTTTCTTAGCAATGAAACCAATCACAAGTGGGGGAAATACCTCGCCAGTTTGCCAGCAGCGGAAAGTGTCGGAACCTATCTGGATTGCTTCCTCTTTTCTGGGATTACTCGAGAAACTCATGTTCAAATTCAACGGCTGGAAAACATCAGAATGAGCATGGCGTTTTTTCTGTGTCAGTTGAGTTTGAAAAATATAGCTCGTGGTCATCCTTCGTTAACATAATACAGCAAATTACATTATAACGAGAGATAGGAACACATCTCTTGACTGTTGAATATGGGGATCCTGAAGCTGAAAAGCTCATGTTACGACTAACAGATTTCTAGTTAAAATGGATCAACTGTGATTTGATTTCTCTTGGAATTTTCAAGTTTCTGCAATTATATATAAGATATCAGAGTAACTGAGTTTGCAGTTAAAAACAAAAACTTAAGAAATAAGAAATTTTTATTTGAATCCTATCTAATCATCTGGATTTTAGTTTTCTTTCAAAATACCGAAGACATCTTGATAGTGACACTCCATACCAGTGTCTATCTAATTTGGTTAAATTTGTGCATTCAATTAACCCTATTAAACTGGAGTTGACATCTATAAAATACACAAAAAGTAACGTAACGACTTTTGTAAACTAGAAAAAATACAGTCTTTGCTTAACATTTCAGTTTTGGGACATTTTACAACCAGTTAATGGAGGACTGAAACTGTCAAGATCAGCATAACTGCAGAAATATAGAAATGTCTCAATGAATAAATCAATATCCTTAAAAAATGCACCTATTAAATGATAAAATGCAACATAATTGTACTCTTTACTCTTATTTTTTTACTCTATGATTATGCAACTTAATTATTGTAAGTCAGATTTACAATAAATTCACAACATAGTCTAATTAGTGAAATTGCTTAGTAAATAATGTGTTGGAAATAAATCCAGCACAAAAATGTAATGGGAAAATATTATGGTACTAGAAATAAAAATAGAAAGAAATAAAGGGTTTTATATCACATTTTTTAAAGGTAAGTTTCCTCTTTTTAAAAGGCAACCTTAAGTTCCAAGTGCTAAATATAAGTGCTAAAATTTCTGCTTTTATTTTCAATTCTGCCAGTCCTCCATATGTTAGATTGATCAGTTACCACCTTGTAAAAGCATTCTCTCTGCTCTTCATCAAAGAAAACAGGCTATAAGTATACTGTATATATATATACATATTTTAAAAAAGTCTACATGTCCTATATATTTATTTACTTTTTTGTCATACAATCATATATGATGTAATGAAAATCAAATGGGGAACTGTAGTTATGACAAAGTTGGTGCAGAATACTTACTGTGGTTTAGCACCTGCTATCAGCAGCACCTGAATGCACTCCAGGCTGCCTGAGCGAGCTGCCTTGTGAATAGGAGCCTCACCAACACAGTCCTGAAAAAAATAATCAAATTAAATCAAGCATATACTTGTGCAAGGACACAATCGAGGCTATTGACCACTAATTTGACAGAACCACTAATGTGAATCATTGTATTGTGGTACAATGACACGTTTTGACTGATTTTTTATAATGAAACAGAGTGCTTTCAGTGTTATTTTATTGCACAACATTTAAAACTTTACGTCATGTCAACAAATTGACCCAAAGACCATGTCATTTATATAACTTTGAGGGGCATAGCCAATTTGTTAAATAATTTGTTTGGACATGTTAATCCCAGATGTCATTGAGTTTCAGAAAGAACAACTGTGTATTTACACCATCTCTTCTTGACCCAAATACAAGGGGGTTAATTACCCCCTATCTTTTCCAAACGGGTAGCCCAGACAGACCTGTTTGTTGATGTCAGCCCCAGCCTGAGTCAGCCACACAACGCAGTGAGGATGTCCACCAAAGGCAGCGGTGTGTGTTGGTGTCTGGTTGAAGCGGCTGGTAACTGAGTTCACCTCACAACCCATCTGCACCAGGAGCACCAAACATTCAAGCTGTTTCAGAGAAAAAGACATAAGCCAAAAAAAAAAATATATATATATATATATATATATATTATGAAACAATTAACAATAAAACACAACAAAGTGTCAGGTCGAAGTTTTGTGTGTTGTTTGGGAATATCAGTTTAACCTGAGCAGGTTAAAAGACTTAAACTCCTAGCAGTGATACACCTTTAAAACACAAACACGACCGGCTTCCTGCTTCCTGTTTTTCCCATTTGGCGCCTGAATATTCGATTGGCTCCTCGGGATCCAATGAAAACGTCGCAATTCGCTCCTTTTTGCCCTTCATGAGAAAACTTTATTGCAAATTGTCAACGAGACATAACAGTACACACTACTTAGAAAATGAACTAGGCACATTGTTTATATCAAACAACATAATTGAACGGTTGTCGCAAAACTTTCTTCTACATTTATCTATGCCATATAATAATGTAATAAGTTTGCGAAGGCTGGACCTCTAGTTAAACTGAATGCTGCACTACTTAAGGTAGCTAAAATCCGAGAGACGAATGTAATCTCTAATTTTAAAACAGCGTTTTTTAACTTTACCATTCCAATAAACATAAACCCCTACTTGTCCATAGTGAGCAGCCCAGTGGATTGGGCTCCATCCATAGCAGGAGTCCTCGGCAGTCAGATGTCCCTGGTTTGACAGTTGCGGTAACAGTGAGACCAAAGCGCTAACGTCCCCATCCCGACAGGCACGGTGGACGGGAAACTGTCTGAAAAATATCTCATCATAGGAAAATCCTGGCTCTAGTCCAACAGACATAAGACAACTTTGAAAGTAATGAACGGCAGTATTTCTCCGCGAGACTTCTGGTCTCAAACGAAGAGTTCAAACACAAAGGGGAATAATGCTGCATTCAATTGAAACAGACAAGTCGGAATTTTGACAATTCGGATTAAGCGATGATACATGAATTGCTACGAGAAAGTCAAATTGCCATACTATCGGTATGTGGAGGAAAGTGGCTCATGCTGGAAATTGAGATCGGTTTGAACAGCAAATGTCACATTTTGTTAAGCATTTTTTCTTTTTTAATCCAATTAAACAAACCAAATAACTTCAAAGCAGTTTCGTTCATTTTTTCTGATAAAAAATGGACTGCACATCTTTTAAAAGCTGTTTATTTTGAGCACCAATGAAAATCAGTGCATTTAAAGACGAGGACGTAAGAAATTAAAGCTACTTTGACTTCACACACTTATCCGAGGTTCTTTGAATGTACCGCGGTCTCAGAAAATCACAAAAGCCGGACTGGACGCGAAACATTCCTCTGTCGTACACATAAATTAGATTAATAAAATTATTATATCAACCCGTGACTTTCCTGAAGTTACAAATAATGTGAGTTAAACTGTCAAATTATCAATGAAATATGTATTTTGTTAAAAATAATAAATGCTATTTTGTCGATACTAGCAAAAAGGTTAACTTATTATTAACTCATTTTGATGACGTATGTTTGCTAACCTTTACGTTAATGTTAATGATCACAATTTTTCGACACTAATAAAATGATGTTTGTTTGTTTCAGTCTTGGAGAAGTCAGCCACAGATGTCAAGGAAGACTGCAGGCCCCAATATGTCGCTGTTATTTGGCGGGCAAAAAGTGGATTCAAATCATGGAGCAAAAGTAAGTGGAGTAAAGTTTGACAGCCTGTAAATCTAAAGTAAAATCAGTTAGATTTTCTGCTCTGTCTTTAGCTCTTTTTTTAAGAGTCATGCCCTCTCCAGACCAAAGTCAATGAGGCTTGCCATATTGAAATATTAGAGGACTCTGGGCAAAGTGTTGAATGTCCTTAATTCCAAATAACATGCAGAGTAAACAAAAAATAAATACATGTGGAAGGTGATTATTTTAGAAACTCTCCCCCTATACACAACCAGGTTAGTTCCCACATCATCTTCTTCGACCTCTTTATTCTGATTTTTTCCACTTGTTAGTTGATAGACACACTTGAAAATATGAACCCTTGCTTTTCTCTTTAAAATAACCACTTCCTTTGTTATTACTCATTTTTTGTTTAGACTTACTACTACTCCAACAGGGGGATAAGGGGTAGTTATGTCAAATTATGTCAATCATCAAAACAAATATCACTGTGCTTTGCACTGTCTATTGGTGGCATATCTGAAAGCTAAAGACAAAGTCTTTTTCTGTTTGTTTTTCTGAAAGTAGAGTAGAAAATTAGCCGTTATTTAACACAATATCTCAAATATTCCTATAGCATGACAAAATTCCAGACTTGACGTGTGAAGGACGAAGAGTTTAAGTTTGCAGATGGATTTTCCTTCTTCTATTTGTGTCTTATTGCGCAAAAGAACAATCTTAACCCTCTCTAAAAACATAATTGTTGTAAAAACCTTTTAACCACCTCAACTCATCTAAGCATGATTGAGAATCCAGGTCAATAAATTGTAAGTTATGGTTTTAATTTGATTTTTTTTTAAATGAACAGAAAACATGACTGTTTCTCTTTCAGGATGGCTTTGTCAGCGTGAGGAGACGGGATTTGGAGAAATTAACCACGGAAATAATGCAGCTCAGGGAGTTCCTGCCCAAAGTGTTGAACCGGAATCTGACTGAAGTGCTGCAAAACGCTCCGAAACCGGAGACAAGTATGCCATTTATTTATTTTATTTTTGTTTCTTTTGTCAATATCACAAAATTCATCTGGTGCTTACCTAAGAAGAACCAAATGAAAGTTAGGCGCAACTAATAAAATATATCCCAAAAACTCTATATAAACAGAAAAAGCTTTAGCGGACGGAAAAAAATAAAGTTAGCATTACATGTAATTATATATTATATATGATTATAGTTAAACATAGTTTAAGTCTAATACTGTGACTTTGAAACATATTCCCATTTTGTTCAATTTGATTTTAAGAAACTTTACCAACCTATTAGGCTTCCGTAGTTTCCAGACAGGAAGTGGGACGTTCATTTGGAAAAATGCAAGTTGAAATTTGAGCCCAGATGTAAAAATAAAGGAGCTATGACACAATTGCGACAGGATTCTTTTACCTTTGCTTTGCAAATAAATGTGTAAAGTCTCCTTTACAATAACGCTTGAGATTGATCGAAAATATGAATTAATATGAAGATCATAACAATGATCCATGAGGAGCTGTGTGCTTTCCTGGAAAGAGTTATTAGACCATTTTGACACAATCTGGTGTTCAAAATGGGATTATTCTAAGTCTAAAACACTTAGGACAGGTTCCAGTCTTCTTAGCTATGGATATTCCCCTCAATTTTTAGACCATTGAATTGCTAATTAATGGCACAGCATGGTTTCTGTACCACATTTTTATCACCTAATAAGGACTAGATGTGCAATTCTTTTCCTTTTAACCAACCCAACATGCATGTATTTTCTTTTCAGCCTACTGGTTATTTTCTGTGATGTTGCAGAATAAACCTTTTGTCATTTAAATGAAATTAATCGGGTAGTTATCCTATTTCATCATTTAAATGGTTTCTAATTCTATTTAATGGAGCTGCATACGATGGGTCAATATTGCTAATTTTTCTTTGGATGCAGCACGGGGCATTGATTCTCGGCTTCACTATTTTTGAGTATGATATATATACTCTAGTATTGATATTGTGGTTGATTTGACGTCTGCAGCCTACAAACCGTTCACTGTTTGCTATGCAAACTTCTGTCCCTGTGTAGAAAAGGAGGTCATCGTACAGGAACAGGGGCAGCTGCAGCAGGAGTGTCTGCATCTTCAATCCAGACTGGACTCAGTACAGACTGAATGTCAGAGAGAAAGAGAGGTGAAAAACAAGCTTTACCTGCAAAGACTCCGGCCGGAACTCATTTTGGGCCACCTATTGCTTGTTTTGCATTTTAGGATTGAGCTTTTGTGAATATTAGATGGTGTCACTACCTTTCTTTTATATTTAAACCTGCTGTTGCTTCGTAAAACCCTAAACAGTTCATGAGTCCGAGCCTTTCTAAAGTTTTGCACGTAGTTATTTGTACATTTGTTAAGTTATTTGTTAATTAAATAACTAAAAGAACACTTGTTTATCTTTTAATCTGAGTTACACATTCATATATGTTTTTAATTCTGTCACTATCGGTCCTCCAGGGGAAACTTCCGTTATTTTACACTTTACCGAGCATTAGGCGCTCATGTGTGTGTGTTTTTTTTTGTCTGTTTTTTTTTAGGAGAAGCTGCTGTTACGTGAGCAGCTGTGGCAGAGCGGGACGGAGCTGCAGCAGCAGGCCGACTTCTGCTCCCATTTGGGATCGGCGGCCTGCAATCTGCTGTGGAGCTGCTCGGCCAAGGAGAACACCGTCACGCTGTGGATAGCCGATGTAAGTTGTTTATTCCCACTGTCGGTAATCCTTATTTTGGAAAAATCGGATCCTCGCAAGCCCACATGACCCCCACATGTGTCAGATTGTGTCATTATGTTATGCGCGAAAGGTAAAGGCTAGAGTTGTAGTTTCAAAAGTAAAAAAATATGAATATTTTTTAGGATATATGCATACTGATTTGTGCTAATTGTGCAGGGGAAGCTGCAGTTGTTCCTGAATGTTGCCGCTCAGACCCTGGAGAGTTTTCTGAAGTCTCTGGACGACGGGATGAAAACTCCAACGGAGGACCACAACTCCCATGAGCACCAGTTTGTGCTGGCGTTGGTCGGAACTATAACGAGTGAGTTCATCAGGAAGCCTGTGATTGGTTTGGAATTGGGGAAGAAATATGACGCCATTCACATCAAGTTTAAACGCGTGATGAAAATTCAAATTTCTTCTTTGTTGGTGACTTCTCCATTTTCTGCTCTTTAGACATAGCGGCCACGACCTCTGGACGGGACATCCTGTCCACTTCAGGGCACGTCTTGCTGGACGCTTTGATAAAACTGCTAGAACTGATGAAGCCAGGCATCTTACCCAAACTGAAAGTGTACGTGGCACTGTGAAAAAAACACCTACTGTAAAATCATGGTACTAACTTTATGTGTTTCTTATCTACAACACAAGGCTGCCTCTATTTTTGTTTTCCCACGTCTTGTCTCAGTGTTTCTTCTGTCTTTTAGGCTGGTGCCTCTTGGTTTGTTTATTTTGTCCTCAAGTGTATTCCTTGTTTTTGTTATTTCCAGGCCCTTAGTTATTTTCCATTGTCGTATTTTTTTTAATTCCAGCTTCCAGCAGAAGCTGGAATACCAAAAAAATTAAACCTTTTACAACATTTACAACTCTTTAGAATAACTTTAACACATAATTTATGATAAAAGTGACCTATTAAACCATTTTGGTTTTTATTTTTTCCAAGATTTCATTTTTACTCTCAAACCTTTATATTTTCAGTTGATTGATTTACAAAATGTTTTAATCCGTCTCTTTTTACATTGTTAATCTGGGAGTCTCATGGAGTCAGCGTCTCACCTACTGGTCAATCAGAAGGATCTAGATCATTTAACTTCCTGTTCATTAACCAATAGGTGAGAAGCTGTCTTGTGGGGAAAAAAAATAGGGTAAGAATGGCATCTATAAATAAATAAAACTGAATAAAAATGTAAGATTTTGTCACATTTTTCATTTAATTTGTGTATTTGCAGCATATTGATAACTTATTAAGACATTATAATTTATTTTTTTTATTTTTTTCTTCCAGTCAGTCCGTTTTAGTCTTAGTCTTAGTTTTAGTCTTTAGTTGTGTTTTCTTTAGTCAAATAGATCGGAAAGATAGTGAACATTAACTCTCACAGTTCATGTTTGCATTTTAATGTTTGCAGGTTAATCCTGATGGCCCTATATAACGTCAGCATCAATGTGAAGGGACTGAAGTACATAAGTAAAAACAAAGGACTTATGGCTGTCATTGGGACCCTTCTGGATGGTAAGCAGACTTTTAAAAAGATTTTTTTTCTTGTTCTGATGTTCCAAACCCCCCCTCCTCCCCCATCACCATCCATAAAAACATGCATGTTAGGTTAGTTGCTGTCTCTAAAAAGAAAAAAAAAAACGTCCGGGCGTCTGATCTGTTTTATCTCTCAGACGGGCACTGGGAGGTGTGTCTCCACAGCCTGCGCTTCCTGCAGTCGGTGTTGCTGGACAAGGACGTGATCCTCCTGCTGGGCTCCTCCCTGCTGGACCCGACCCTCGGGGCTCGCGTGAGCCAGCTCACGGCCAGCGCGCAGCCCAAGATTCGAGTGACCGCTCAGCAGACCCTGGAGGATCTGCTGGCCCTCCAGCAGGTCCAGAAGTCCAACGGTGGGAAACTCTTGTAGGTTACTCACCTCGAAAATCTCAAAGAAAATAAATTCTCTAAAAACTGCGTTCATGTGTGCTTGGCGAATTTACACAAGGGACGCGACATCAGGCTTTAGCTATTTTAATGTTGACTTGAGCTTTAAATTCAACTGGACTCGGGACTATCATAATTTACACTTCAACAGCCCAAATGTGTTTGTTTGATGAATGGAGTTCAGGAGCATATTTTAAGAGATTGTGGATCTTCTTTTAAGACTAATACTTTTAAGACTCAGCGAAAACACCTCTGTATCCCAATGAAAGGAATAGAAACCTCTCTATATACAACAAAAAACTGGAACACTTTTATTTTTGCAGGGCCCGTGATGCTAACAGAGCATTAGCTTATGTGGATTAGCCTCTTCAGTTCAGCCAATCGCCTTCGATAACAGTTGTTTAAGACTAAATATAGAAGGACCAGATTTATAACAGTTGGTATAAGATATAATAAAATGATTTTTTTATGTTTAACAGTTATATGTCCCCTTGTTCATTGCTGTACTGTTTGGTGTGTGATGTGAACGTAATACAAGTTTGATAATAGAAATTAAAGATGTTTATACCACTTAGGAATCCTTCTGTTTAATTTCACAGATGCTTTCTCAGTGTTTTGAGATATGGTTTAATGCAGAAATATTGGTCTGACGGACACAACAAGAAATCTTCTAATCCAGAGCAACTAATTCCATCGGCTGTATTTGTGCAACTTGAGTACAAATATGTTGTTTGTAAATATTTTTTACTGATTATTTTGTATCTCGTGGAACAGAAAGAGGGAATTAAAAAATGTGTTTATGTTCCTGTGATTGCTCTGGTATTTTCAGGAAGCCGATTTGTGAAATAAAACCTTATTTACAAAAAAAGTTTCTTGAAGAAATGTTTTTTTTCTTTGATGTGCAGATGTTATGTCCATAGAGTTTTAAATAATATTTCAACAGAGTTGCATGTTGTTCATTTGACACCTTTATTGTGTGGTTTTTTCGTTTTCCTGTGGACCTCTCAGTTTTTGAGCGGGTGTACAGTGAACACATCCTACACTCTACCACATGATACAAAAGAGAGGGTTCACAGTCGGCATAGCAACAGCAGCTGTGACCTCGGTGAAGCTTCATCGATGGAATCATTGGGACAAAGACATGAAAGACGTTTATCTACAAGCTTAATCCCAATTTACTCTGCGTTCAGAGGGCTCGCTCTGATATGTAACAACAACCAGCAGAAGGAAGTATCTAATCTGGTGAATGTCTTGTCCTTCAATGAGTATTTATCCTTAGAAACTAATGTTACCCTCACTTATTAAGTAGGCTTATTTTTGTTATACTCAAAAGATGATACTGATCATTCTTTATGAGTGTACTAAAAAAAAAAAAACTACGGATAGCAAAGTGAGGAGGACACAAATATCCTCTCAGGAAAATAGAGAAGAAGAATTAAATGGTGGTCTAATCCCAGAAGATGCAGGTTTTCCTTGGGGGCTGACCTCTCGTATAGCCTGTCATTCTCTAGGATGACGCGGCAGCGTTGGGCTTGTCGTCGCGGGTGACGGGGATGTTGCGGTCACTGCGGCCGGATTCACTCCCGCCGGTGACCTTTGGCCCCGTCAGAGTCAGCAGGCCGTCGGCCGACAGGCTGCAAGTGATCGCCGATTGGTCCACGCTGGAGGGGAGGCGGTAGCGGCGATGGAACTCCCGAGAGATGTAACCATGATCATCCTGTAGAAGAACATTGGTCGATTTCAAATTGGGAAAAAAACAAGTGACTTTTTATATTGCTATCCCACAATTTCTTTTGGTCTTATCAATGTTTCAACTGTCGCACAGATTAAGATTACAGTTAAAAATTTGATTACTGACAAACTTTTAGAGCATCTTAGCTGTAAGAAAAAAGGCATAACATGACAGAATCAAGAAACAACACATATAAATAGACATACAGTGGGCGAAATAAGTATTTGACCCCTTGGTGATTTTGCAGGTTTTGCCCACTTACAAAGAATGCAACGATACATAACTTTAATCATATGTACATTCTAACAGTGAAAGACAGAATCCCAAAGAAAATTCCAGAAAATCACATCATATAAATTTATAAAAATTGATAACCATCTGATGAGGAAAAATTTGCATTCTTTGTAAGTGGGCAAACCTGCAAAATCAGCAAGGGGTCAAATACTTACAGTATTTCCCCCACTGTAAATAGACATTTGACACATCAAACAAAAACATATAGATTTAGTACTGCTCTATTCTAAATGTTTATACCTTGATGTATGACTCCCTCTTATAGGTAGAGAGTCAGAGCATAGACATACTGTACATACGATGTACAGTATGTATACAAGAAAAAGAAGGAGAGAACTACCTGTCTTTCTCCGTGTTTGCCCTGGATCTCCAAATAATCATCGGTCACTTTTACATTGAGCTCTTCAGGGGAGAAGTGCTTGACATCCAGGTAGACGGTGAACTTGTCCCTGTCGGACCTCACCTGAGGAAAAACAGACACACATTTGTCATTTATTGTGTCACTTCAGGCTTCAACTGGTCTTAGTAGTTCGACTACGCACGATTTTCATTTCACGACTTTAAATTGAGAGGCAATCAGAGGAACTTTTAGTCAAGCAAAACTCAATCAAGAACGATGTTAGTGATATTGAAAATCAAGCAAAAGAAAGGTTTTTTGGTGATAAAATTTGGTGCCATAGCAACAATGGGGTTTACCTCAGAGATGCCGGAGTTGGAGGAATCCAGGAAGTTTCGGAAAAGCGACTGTCTGTAGTAGGGGCTGATGGTGGAGGCGGTGTAGGGGAAGAGATCGTAGTCGAACATTCCCTCTCCGAAAAACTGGTCAAAGAGTCGGGCCGGGTAGACGGAGCCCAGGGCGCGTCTGAACCAGGGGTGCTGGATGGCGATATCCATAGTGAGGAGAGAGCTCGGTCTAGTTTCGGATATATTGCTCGGGTAGGGAGAGATGAATCTGCTCAGGCCCCGAGTCCTCGGGAAAAGGAGACGAAGCAGGAACGGGGGAGAGAACAAAAAGTCGCGATGGAACTGTATTGAGGGGAATGAATGTTTCCAAAGTTGCTTTGTCTCCGCTTTACAACAAGCTTCCTCTTTATATACCTGAGAGCCAGAAAAGAGAGGCTTTAACCACGATCCCCCTGGAATGACATTATCTCATGGTGGGTTGGGCCCCGTCAGCAGAATTTCGGGAGGACGGGGGGGGGGGGGAAAGCACCACTCCGGTTAGACCCCGGCGTGACCCAGTAACGTCCACACAAACACCGGACACCCAGGTCTGCCAAAACAAACCCAGCATGACAGAGACAACAGGGTATGGGGGCATGACAGGGACAAAGGAAAACCAACTGTACCAAAGGGGGATTTTAACTTAGTGATAATGCACTGAAAACAATACACATACAGACTGTCTGATCTGTTCAGTAGTCAGAGTCATAAATTAATTCAATTCAATTCAATTTTATTTATATAGTGCCACATCACAACAACAGTTGTCTCACAGCGCTTTCCAAACAGAGCAGGTAAGACCCTACTCTGAAGTTAATTACAGAAACCCAACAATTCCCACCATAGCCCTGGAAATGCCTCTAAAAAGACATCAAATCGAAATGAGTTCAAAAAGCGACATCATGAGAGCTGTTGAGATTATGCAACATCACATATCAGCAATATCAGCAGGGCAATGTCATGTTTTTATCACATAATCTCAATAGACTATAGACATGGAAGAAATCCTTGGAAAGTAGTATTTCAGGGCTATTTAACATTTGGTGTCTCACTGATCATGAGTTCTTCACCATCTTGTTCAGTGAGTAAATTCTGTTTAAATTCTGCAAGGCTACTTCGAAGCAAATGTACTGCGAAACTATAAAAATGTAGCAATCAAAGCAATTTATGTTGACTTGAGAAGATTTCTGACACACCTCTCGTCCACTTTCATACACACTTCAATTATCTGCATATCCGTTGATTTCTATCTATAGCCTTGATTGACTGGCTGTTTAAAGTTCAGTTTTAATCATCAGATTCTAGATTTTTAAAAAATGATTATCCAGCATCGTTATTGTTCTTTTCCTTGTTTGATTTATAATCTTCATCAACAGCCGATCAGCCATCTTAAAAGACACCTTCACACGAAAAATAGGACGTGTTGCTCTGGCTGAATTGCAAAGGTAATAGTCATTTCCCATGCCCGTTGTAAAGCGGGCTTTTCTCGCTGCCTGCTTTAATCTAATCCAACGGGGCTTTGGCCAGACAGCACAAGGGCTTAGTCGCACCCACGGGCCAAGAGCAAACTAAGCCAGGCGGCAAGAGATTGGATGTTTTATGGGGAAGCTCAGGGCAGGTTTGTCGGGGTTCAGGGTTATAAGCTGCAGCAGACCGAACATAGATGACATTAGACCGGCCTCAGTTCAGTAGAGTCAGCATTCTAAGTTTTTTATCAATAGGACAAGACAATGCTTTTTTGGAGAGCTGGGTTCTGCTTCCACAGCTATCCAAAAGCTGTTATTACCAAAAAAAAAAAACAATACTCACGGCTCAGTTGAAATATTAAAGTTGACTGATTATCATAAATCTAATCATGGAATAAAAGAAGAAATAAAGGCGACAGTGCATGAAAACAATAAGGGGTCCATTTGATACATCTAAAAATCTCAAATGGACAGAGACTGGAAGAAATCAGCTTGATTATGCCTTTTCCATGCTATGTTAATCCATCTTTTTTGACAAACTTGGTATAAGCAGAAAAAAGTTAATTTTTTTTGCTTCTATCAGTTACTCTCAACTAGAACAGGCTTAAAAAGCTGCCACAACCAGAATGGTTTAATTGTACTGGTTATCGTGTACCGTACTGTCTTATGTATTGATTTTTAGAAATATTTGAAAACATCTGATTAATGTTTATTCACCTTCTGCTTCGCCTTATAGGGTAGCTCTTGTAATATGGCCCAGAACCTGGGCTTACACTATCATCCCATCCACCTCTCTAATATTAATATCAGGCTCCTTCAAGGGTCAACTATCTAAATTCATAAATATTCAAATCTCACATTTCCATGACACGTCTGTCAGAGGAGCTTCCTGGATGCCCAGAACAGTCTTTGACAACTTCCCCATTACTTGATCGGATCCTACTTGTGCCAATAAAAATAAAAATAAACTACGTAATTGTTTAATGTGGGTCACTGTTAGGAATCCATGTTAAAACATCACCATACGTGGCTTCAACAGTATCATCTGGCCATCTAGTACATGCTTTTTTGTTGTTGCCTAACCCTAACCCTTAACCCTAACCCTAACCCTAACCCTTTTTTTATTTATGGAGCTAGTAACAAAAATAATTTCCTTCTGGGATAATTAAAGTATTTCTGATTCTGATTCTTATTCTGATTCAAAACATTAAGATCCTGAGGAGATTAAAGAAACCAAATACTGGGGAAAATATTCAGTTCAGCATTGGAAACTTTACATAGTGAAACCAATTGATTAAAAACTGGATATTTTAGGAAAAATGCCATGTCCCAGTTGCCAGATTTAATATTATGCGTTCCTAATAAACTCACAAGTGTCTAGCCAAGCAGTAAAGAATGGAAACGTCTCACAGTTCAGTTGTTTTGTCCCCTTTCTTTACTCTTTCTTTCCAATTTCTCCCATGTGTGAATCTCTAGGGTCACACATGACCTCTTGTTGTGTGTCGCTGTTACTGTGTGGGTTCGTCTGTTGCAATGCCCGCAGCAGTTTCTCCGGGCATAGAATCCTATCTTCACCACGTACACGTCCCAATCGCACCTCGACCGACCTGGAAACAGTAATTCCCCCGAGACAGAACCTACCTTTGAAATCTGTCTCTTAGTCTCTCTCCGTTTGTCTGCTACTTTTTAGTTTTTTGTCTTGCCCTCTCTTTCCCTCACCCCCAACCGGCAGAGGCAGATGGCCGCCCACCCTGAGCCATGGTTTCTGCTCGAGGTTTCTGCCTGTTAAAAGGAAGTTTTTCCTTGCCTGTGTCACCTAGTGCTTGCTCATGGTGGGAATTGTTGGGTTTCTGTAATTAACTTCAGAGTGGGGTCTGACCTGCTCTGTTTGGAAAGCGCTGTGAAAACAACTGTTGTTGCGATGTGGCGCTATATAAATCAAATTGAATTGAATTGAATTGAATCAAACACAGTTTCTGTGTATTCATGGTAATGCAAAATGCAGAAAAGTTGTTAGTATTGATGAATTCTATCCAGCAGTTGTGCACTGCGTGTTGGACATGTCCACAGTGCTTTAAGCGTCAATCTAACTCATTAAAATGAAACATTTTTAAAAGAAATGCAACAACAACACAGACGGGACCATAGTCAGTTCGTAGTTCCTAGTTCATCCAGATAATGTCTGTATTTCCGTCGATTTGTCCAAAAACTGACGACATCATTGAACCTTATTCACATATTCTAACCTTATCATGTCCCTGGAGTGTGTTGCTCCTTAACTGACTTGTAAACAAACATGACAGAAATAAATGCTATTATATAATTGCAGTCTATTTAGGGTACTTTTTTTTGTACTAAAGCCCTCTGTTGAGAATATTCCAGGGCACTGTGGGAGTTGAGAGTCTGTTGTCATTTTGTCACCTGAGCCGAAACATCTTGTGTGAAAGCACAATGATTGCTGAGTGAAATAAACGGGTTACAATGCAAAATCAGGATTTTTAATTTTTTTTTATTTAAACCAACATTTACTAAACCCTGAGTCTGCATCTACAAGCAAAAGTCCTGGTGCTCTGCAGGCCAAGCACGCACATACCCATTAACCGTATTATCACAAAAATAAAAAGGAAAAAAGTTGGCCCCCTAAAACAGAAATTGATTATCATGCGGAAAACTTAGCTTCTCAGATCTTAGACCGTTGTTGTGTATTGTGGGATGGTTGCCCTCAAACTGCCAGTGGGAGGATTCTCTGGGGAAAGAATCCCCTGACATTGCTCAGATGATTATCAGGTGATAATCACTTCACAACCATTATCAAGCTTCATGACATTTTGCTCAAAAATGCATAAAATGGCAATCTGCCATGCAACATTTTTAGAAAAAACTCTAGCATGACTTTTTAGGAACAGTTAAAGATACAATCAGTCAACCTCATTAAGAAGAAACAGTGATGACAGTGAATAAATGAATGAATTGATGAATACATTCAGTCAGCACTGCTGTGAGGTCATATTGGTCTACAGTTTTGTCACAAGGGGGCTCCATTGCCTTTGAAATGTTATTTACGGCATATTTGTCATTCAGTAGCTGCTAATCAGTTTATATATTCTCTATTTTTGCATCAAATGAGAAACCTATCCTGATTTGTTTTCAACTTGCCAACACTAAATTAATTTATTTTTTAAAAACAGCATCATCCACAAACCAAAATGAGGCAGAGACAACAGCACATCATTCTTTTTCTTTCAAAATGTCTCTTTATGTTGTCTCATACATAGAAAGGCTGAAAATGGCTTTAATTAATGTCTTCTATCATTTAGCATGAGGTACAGGTACATCATATTTATCTTTTCAAGAAGTATCTTCCTTTATTGAGCATCAGATGAGATTAAATTAGCTTTAGTTTTTTTATTTTATGTTAAATACCTACCGGTGTTATTCCTTTGAATGCATATTTGGACAACAATATGTTAAAAAAAAGGACATTCATAGCTGAGAGTTTGACAGAAATGACAAATATGTCTTCAATATATGTGGAATTGCAAGAATTATGTTTTTATTACCTCATGCCAAGCAGTTCTGGCTTACCTTTTTTCCACTCTCCTATGTTGCACATCCATATTTCCGTAATGCCTCTAAAAGACCACTGCAGTTTGGGAGCAGGTGGGGTTAGTCAAGTGGTCAATTTGCAATTAATGCTGCCAGATTTCACAGCAAATATCAGGGCTTTAAAGCAGTGCTTTCAAAAGTAATCTAATTTCTACATCAAATTGCAATGTGGTGTTAAAGTAATTGATTTCTATGGATATATTTCCAATGATTATATACTGAAAAAAATTAAGGGGATTTTCCCATTTTTTTTGCTATCCTCCCAAAATAATATACACATATATTTATCCATGGGTTTTATTCTGATGTAACTATGAAATCCATTCTACCACTTCTATACTTGTTGAAATTTGAATA